GTTCAGATCCTATTTAGGGATGGCTGGTTCACTCACTGGCTGAGTGTGGTGCTGACAACACTGTGCTGAGGGTTGCGATCCCGTTACCAGTCACGAAAAAAGACAAAAAGGAAAAAAAAAAAAAAAAGATGGGGGTGGGCAAAAATACACATGGATGTATAGATTTAGTGATGGAAAATGGAGGGAATTCCTCTCTGATGGAGCAGGAGAGGACACGTGCTGAAAGTGAGGTGGAGGTGGTAGGGAAGGAATTATGGAGAACAAGCCAACCACTGCAGAGGTTGCCAGGCAGTGCTGAGAGACTTGAGTTCCAATGGCATCATGCAGAATGTCTGCACGACTTGTCACACTTTGGTGCAGGCCTGGGCAAAGTGGGCAGCTAGGTTCATCCAGAGTTGAGTTTTTTTTTTTTTTTTTTTTTTTTTGTGACCAGTAAGGGGATCGCAACCCTCAGCACAGTGTTGTCAGCACCACACTCAGCCAGTGAGTGAACCAGCCATCCCTAAATAGGATCTGAACCCATGGCCTCGGGGCTACCAGCGCCTCACTCTCCTGAGTGAGCCACGGGGCCGGCCCAAGAGTTGAGATTTTGCCAGTCAGGTGCACCAGGACAATGGAACAAAGGAGTGAGTGGTTGAAATGATGGACCCCAGAACCCATGATGGGTAGGGAGAGAAGTGAGGACAGGAGACGGCTGACGGGAAGGGTGGAAACAGGGGAATCAGCAGGTTGGAGGCCTCAATGAGGTTGAAGAAGAAGTGCGGGGAAGCTGAAGGAGTGGGCAGCTGTGATCAGAGTGGAAGTCTGAAACTGTCCTTTCAGCGCAGGAGCAGCTTGGGATGCTGAGGTCTAGGGAGCAGCTGTGGGAATGGGTGGCAACACTGGATTGGAACTGAGAGTCATAGAGAATAAAAAGGTTAAGAAAAGGAGGGCTGGGGTGTCTGCACATAATCTTGCTGTCTTAAGCCTGCAGGGAGCTTCCAGATGCCCCCTGAGCTACATACAGCCTAACCCCAACCACAGTCCATAAACACTCCAGTCCCCTCGGGCCTGGCACCCTACCTAGAACCTTAGCCTACTTTGGCCCAGCATTTCCCCTGTTATGTGTCCCCTTCTCCCATCTCTACCTGCTGACTGGGCTCCTGCTTTCAAAATGGATGGACACCCCATCCTAGTTCCCTAAACCACAACACCCCATCCATCTCATTGTCAGTGCCGTACGTGCTTAAGACCTTCAGCTGCCTTGCCCCACCACAAGACTGCACCTCGTGTCACTCAGTAATTCTTAACCTTCTGGGGGATCTTAGACGTAGTGAGAATTCATTCAAGCTGTGGACTGTGTCTTTAGAAATATGTGCAAACAACCAACTTCACATCTAAATTCAGGTGGTTCCCAGATCCTGAAACCTGAGTTTGCCATACTGCTTTGGACAGTGTGATTTGGATTGTGGGCTGCCTCCTCTTCTCTCCCCGGGGTCTGCCTTAGAGGTAGGTGAGTCCCCTAAACCCAGCATGCAGCTCGATCCTTCTCCCTGTTGGCCAGGGCTACACAGCTCAGGTCAGCCACCGCTCTGGTTCACTGCCCCTTCCTGAGTGACTCACTGGCCCCTGAGAGACAGATAGACCCCTGCCACTAGTGCCCCTCACTTCAATACATCCCTCAAGCCCACCCTCCCATCTCTCCTCTCCCCAGAGCAGATACCTTGTAAGGGGCATGTGAAAAAGCGCTTCAGTGTGTCCTGCATGCTGTTCAGCCTCTGCTCCAAGTCCCTCCTCTGCACCTCTTCACTTCGCAACGTCTCCTTTGCCTCGTCTCTGTCTGACTGGCAGGCCTGCAACTGCCGTTTGGCAGCCTGGTGATCCTTCTGTTCCACCAGAATTGCTTCCTGGCTCTGGGCCAGCTCTCTCCTGGACCCCTGCAGAGCCTCTTCCCTCTGCCCCAGCTGCGTTATCTTCAGGTGGAGCTGCTGCCTCAGGCTGCTGTTAGTGGCTTCGAGAATGCTGCTCACCTGCTGGAGCTGCTGAGATGCCTGCAAATCTGTTTGGCCATAAAGAGAGATTTGGAGGGCATCTTCTCCTGCCGTGCCCTGGTCCCCCGAGCCTGCAGCATCAGCCCTTTTTCTGCTTCTTGCAACGTTTCACATAACACACTGAAATATAAAATCTGACTGCCTAAAGATTAAGAAGGTGCCAGATTAGGTAAAGACAATTTAGGAAGACAGGGCACTCTAAAACAGACCTGGCTGGAAACTAGACCAAAACCTAAGGATGTGGTGGTAGTGACTATGGGCCCTGCTGAGGAAAGGCAGCTTTAGGGGAGAGGAGGGAGAAAGTTGTTTGGGGTAAGTAGGAATTGGGGGGGGCAGCTATACTCACAGCGCACTCCCAGGCAGATGGTGGCCACCCCTAACAGCAGGCAGGAGAGGAGCAGGCCAAGCAGGAGGTATTGCAAGCAGGCTGCACGGCCTTCGGCGGGGACAGTGGGATAAGGGCCAGTCAGCCCCAGGAAGGAATTTGTACACTAAGGAGATGGGCGGGTCGGGGAGACTCCTGGGGAAAGCTTTCCTAAGAGGACGACGGTGCGGAGTCGAGGCAAGCGTGGGGTGTTTTGCAGGTAGGGGAGGAAGGGTGTTCCAGAGTAAGGGCTGGGGATTGTGACCCATGAGGAAGATTGAGGGCATTACCTGGGAGGAGAGGGAACTAAATCTCAGACGGAGAGAGGGAAAGGATGGGGAGGTATGTGAACTGGAACCATCCGAGGGGGCTGGGGGTGCGATCTGGGTCGACACAGCGGGATCATCTGGGGATGGGAGAGCCGGGACGTTCCGAAGGGCTGCGCCCGGGGCTCATCCCCGGGCAAGAATTGCACAGCGCGGGGCCCAGCACCTCCCCAGCCCGGGCCGCCGCGCGGGGCAGCTGGTGGCGCGCGGGGTGGCGCGCGGACAGCACTCACAGGGCAGGATCCGCCCGGCAGCCGGTGGCGTCACGGAGCTCCAGGACGCGGTTGGCTGCTCCGACTTGATCCCTGCGGAAGGGGAGCGTCCAGCTGAAGAAGGGAAGCCCCGGGTGATACCCGTTCTGCCCACGACCGCCCCCGCGCCCGCCACGCTGAGACCCCCCGTCTGCCCCAGCTGCCCTCTCCGACCGCTCCGGGACCTACTCTCCGGAGTTCCTCATCTCCCCCGGGAGCCCTCGACTCCCTCCTGGGTCTCCCTTTATCATTTCCTCTGGGACCCCTTATCTGCTGGCCCCAGACCCCCTCCCTGACTGCCCTCGCCCTCTCCCATGGCTCCCCGTTTCCCGTTAGGACGCGTCTCCCCGCAGCCCTGCCTGCCTCCTCCTCCCCAGCCCTCGTCTCCACCGGGATCTCCACCCTGCCCATCGGTCTTCCTCCCCGGCTCCCATTCATCCTGTTCTCACTCTTCTCTCTCCTAAGAACCGTCCTCCTCCTTTCCCCAAGGGCATTGTCCTCCCAAGAATACTGTGGACTCCCCAGCTCCAGACAGCCCCCCACAAACACATGTCCCCTGGGCCCACCATACCTGCTTTGTCCCTTAGTCCAGAGGAAGCCAAGCTCAAGGGCCCGCCTGGCCCTGGGGGCACTTGTATGTTCTCATAGGTGAGTTCCCCATCGTCGTCAGCCTCTGGGTCCGGAGAGAGAAAAGGCACCAAGGTGGGAGTCAGGAGTGGGATCTGTGGGGTGAGGGGTGAGGTCACAAGGGAGGACGGGGACACAGGATTGAGGAGACGCCTGCTCTGCCACATCCACCTTTACCCAGTCCCAACTGGCTGGAGACGCTCTTCCTCAGGGGAGCCTTCACAAACCGCAGGTCTGCATAGGTGACAGCCTCAGCCATGGTCCTGAGCACCTCTGTCCCCACCCGTCGCCCCCCTCATCCACTGGCCCCAAGCCTCCCTAGCCACTCTCTTCTTTGTCCCTTCACACTCTTAGGCTCTGTGTTCCCTTGTGACTGCTCAGCTTAGTGCTTCGCTCTATGACTTCCAGTCACGAAAGAGGAAGATGTCTCAGACAGATGGGCTCAGTGAAGCAAAAGGCATCCCTGGGCCTGGGCCAGAGGAGCAGGGGAGGGAGTGTGGTCCAGAGCTCAGAGGTAAGGGCTGGGCCTGTCCTGGTGACCTGCCAGTGCTCCCCTTCATGCATCCAAGACCCACTTTGGCAATGCCAGCCTCCAGCGCCATCCTCCTGGTTATCCACCCTCATGTGCCCCATCCTCCCCTCCTGACTGCGCTGTCCACTGGGGCTTATCGATGTGTAGTCAGATCTCCTTGTGCCCAACTGACCTCGGAAGATCTCCCCAGCTCTAGGGTGAGGCTCCATGCCCCCCATCAGAGTGGGGGGGGTCCTATCATGGAGCCCTAGTTCCTCATCCTCCTGGGGTTTCCAATAGGTACGGGTTCCCAGAAAGGGTTCCCTGATTTGGTGGCTCGTCAAATGGGGCTGTCTCTCCATCAGCTTGGGGGCTTTTGGGGTGGACCCAGCTCCCCTCCTGCTTAGCCCCACAGAACTGCCAAGAGTGAGGATCCCACACACTGGGAGGATCTTACTCAAAAGCCCTTCCTGGGTGTGGCAGCCAGCCCTTTGGAGGATGCAAAGGACCTGGGACCAAACTGTTTCTTCTCCCCAAGCATCCCCAGACTCCTTCTTCGCAGCCTGTCCCTGGTCCCTCCACCCTTGTTGACCTACTGATCACACCTGTGGCCATCAGCCCCTTTTTCTTCCCACCCTGCCCCTGCCAGCCTCATGGTGTCCCGTGTGTCCCCACACATGAGCCGAATCCAGCAAGCAAAGTCCAGGAGGCAGAGGCTCTAGACTAGGCCTGGGCTGGGGGTGTGGGTGAAGAAGAGCCACAGCTGGCACACCTCTGGGAAAGGCTGCAGCTGCGGCACCACCGCCCCCTCCTGCGCCATGTGGGGGGCCAGGGAGCAGGCGGGCAGGGGAGTTGCACAAGGATTAAGAAGGGCTGCAGCTTCCTAGACAGAAGTGAGGCAAGGACAGAGCAGAGCCAGATGCTGAGCATGCAGACTGAGCCAGCTGAGGCTTTGATATTGCCTTGGTTTGGTTTTGGTTTTCCTCCTACTTTTCTAGTAAAGTTCCTCCTTTAAAAAGCCCCAACATTGCCCCTAACACCCAGGGGCACTTGTCGGGGAGAACCCAGGGACTGAGAGGCCCCCATGGGTGGTGAGGGCCTGGCTGATGAAGGAGAGCAGGAAACCCAGGGAGGGGAGAAGGGGGCTGCTGAGAAGTGGTGCCTGAAGGTTCTCCCTAAGGCTGTTTTACCAGGAGGTGACCCCTTACAGGATCCCCAAAAGGGCCTACATCCAGGGATGGGAAGGAGCTGGGACAAGACAAGGTATGGAGGTGGGAAAACCCCACCCCCTTGCAGGTGACATCTGCCCCCTCAGAAACCCCTCCTGCAGCTGCGCAGAGAAAAAAGGAAGGGGGAAAAGTCCTCACTGCACGCTAACAGCTGGTGCGATGGGCGGTGTGTGGTGGGTGCTGTGAGGGGCCCTAGAGCTGTGCCCACCAGCACCGCCCAGCCTGCCCCAGAGAAGGTGACCACTGAGGCAGAGGAGCACACTTGTCACCTGAGGAACGTGGCTGAGGAGGGGCGGGCACGTGGGTGTGTGTGCGTGTGCACATGCATCACCAGGACTTTGTGGTCTGGCAGGGGTGGTCTGCGTGAGGTGAGCGTCTGTGTCAGAGCCTGCCAGGAGGCTGACACACGAAGGAGTCTGTGGGCTAAAGGGTACCTGTGATAGCTGTTACCTTTTTCCATGGCAGGGAGTGATGGGCCATTTTCAGAAAAGTCTTCAAAGGTTATGGCAACACATTCACAAGCATTTCCTTTTTAAGGCTCACTGTTTTCTAAGGTGTCTCTGCAGCTGTTAACGGTTCCTGCTTGATTAAAGTTTCCAATGACACAGTACCCTCCCCCCAGGCCTGACCCTGTCAGGTCCTCCCCCAGATACAGACAGTGGTGTGTGTTGGTGACTCCCTGGGGGCCTCAGGGGCCTGTGAGAGTGAGTGGGAGTATACAGGGCCGCTGGTGGAAGGGGTGGGTGGGGACAGCAGGGTACTTGTACCTGCGGTGTACGGGGGTAGGGGTGGGCAGTGAGTGAGTAAATCATTTGCAGGAATTCCATAAACTGTAGATCATGTGCCAGTTTTCAGAACCAATACACAGGTGAACATTGACCTGGGTGCCAAAACCAAGCTTCCAGTATGCACTCAAAAAACAAACAAACGGGGCCGGCCCGTGGCTCACTCGGGAGAGTGCGGTGCTGATAACACCAAGGCCACGGGTTCGGATCCTGTATAGGGATGGCCGGTTCGCTCACTGGCTGTGCGTGGTGCTGACACCAGCCAAGGTTAAGATCCCTTTACCTGTTATCTTTAAAAAGAAAAGAAAATTAAAAATATTTTCCCCTGTCTATTCTTTGAGATACTAATTGGAGTTATATTAACTATACCCTTTAATTTGGGGAGAAGTGAGTTTTTTATATTTTACCTTCCCATACAAGGATATGGTTTATTTTCTGTTTGTCTTGATCTCACTTTATATCTCTTAATAATATTGTATAACGTTCTTCATAAGAGTACTGTGTGTTTATTGGTTAAATCTGTGTACCAAGAGCAGTCTCAGTGCCAAACTGCCAGGATTCAGTTCCCAAACTCTAAGATGCTCCTGGTTAGTGATCTGTGGTAGATCACTTCATCTCTCTGCTCCTCAATGTTCTCTTCTGTAAAATAAGAATAATAGTAGTAATCTATCAAGAGGGTGTTGTGAGGATTGACTGAGTTAATACAAAGCGCTTAGAATGGTGCATGGCGTTATGGTGGCTATAATTATCATCCTAAGAATTTTATACTTTTTCAACTGTAAATTAAAATTGCTCCCATTTTTAATTTGAGATGCTTATTGCTAGAGTAGAAAAAAAATTAGTTTAGTTTTATTTATCTTGTATCCAGTCAACTCTCCAAATTGTATTGTCTTGTTACTAGAGTTTTCTACTAGTCTTTTGGATTTTTTGGTAATATAATCATATCAACAGTGAAAAAAGATAACTTTATAATTTCTTTTCAGATGATCATAACAATTCATTCTTTTCCTGCATTTGTCTTGTCTTACAAAACTTCCAAGATATGTTAAATAATAGGAATAATAGCAGGCATCTGTCTAAATTTTTATTTTAATTGAAGTGATTTTAGTGTTTCAACATTGAGAACAATATTTGCTGTTAGGTTTTAGTAAATAGTCTTCATTATATTTAAGCAGGTTTCCTTTTTCTTTTTTTTACTTGGAGTTTTTATTAGGAGTGGTATCAGGTTATACTGGCTTTGTATGTTAAATGGCATAGAAATTATTCTTTAAGTTTAGATAAAACTCAACTCTGGCACCAGTCTTTTCCAAAAGTGGATTTCTCATCATCTTTCTACTTCGGTCTTTTCTAAGTTAAGTTGAGCTATTAAGCTTTCCTCTCTCTCTTAGGCAAATTTTGATAACATATTTTTCCTAAAATCTATCCATTTCTTAAAAATTTCTTTTAGATTTTCAAATTGATTGCTGAGGAATTTTAAGTTGTACTTTTTAATAATTCTCTAATTTTTTCTTATATCTGTAAGGATGTTTTCTTTCTCATAACCAATCTTGTCTATTTTTACTCTCTTTCCCTCCTTTAATTGGGCTTGCAAAAGCCTTATCTATTTTATTAATCCTTTAAAGAACAATTTTTAAAATTCAGCATTTTCGGGCCAGCCCGGTGGTGCACTCGGTAGAGTGCGGCGCTCCCGCCGAGGGTTCAGATCCCATATAGAGACCAGTCTGCTCACTGGTTGAGCACGGTGCAGGTGCGACACTGAGGGTTGCGATCCCGTTACCGGTCACGAAAAGAGACAAAAAGGAAAAAAAAAAAAATTCAGCATTTTCATTTATTGAACACAGTAATTTTGTTCTTTTTTTCAACCAGCTTTATTTCATTGTAATATAGATATAATAAAATTAATCAGTTTTTTTTTTTTTTTTAAGATGACCGGGAAGGGGATCTTAATCCTTGACTTGGTGTTGTCAGCACCACGCTCTCCCAAGTGAGCTAACCGGCCATCCCTATATAGGATCCGAACCCGTGGCCTTGGTGTTACCAGTACCACACTCTCCCAAGTGAGCCACGGGCCAGCCCTAAAATTGATCAGTTTTAAGTGTAAAATCCTATGAATTTTGAGAAATGTATTCAGTCCTCTAACCACCACCCAATCAAGATACAGAACATTCCTATCACCCCAAAGTTTCCCTCCTACCCCTTTGTGGTATCAAACAAATTCCCTCTGTTTGATACCAGTGTGACCTCTATTATGTTTATTTGCCTGGTGTCTCTTTCCCACATCTTTATTTTGAAACTTTCTTATCAGTTTGCTTTAAGTGTGTTTCTCTTAAGTAGTACGTACCTGAATTTATTTATAACAAAGACTGTCAGTCTTTTAATGGAGGAATCCAGTCCACTTCTACTTACCGTAATGTGATGTATTTGACTATTATTTCCATTTCACTTGTTTTTAAAATTTTTAACATTGTTGTTAACTCTTCTTTATCTTTGCCGGATTGAATGAATTGCTATTCATTCCATTTTCCCCCTCATTAATTTGGAGTTTGTCATTCTGTTAATAGTTACCATACCTGTCCCTGCTCTCAGACACATGTCTCTTCTAGTTTATGTAAACAGAATAAAGCTATTTCCACAATACTCTAATTATCCTCTACTTCCTCCCCACCCCAATAATATGTGATCTTTAGATCACTCTTACTTCCCTTTCTTCCTCCCCTTGTTCCTCCCCTCCCCCCCCCCAGCCCTTAGATATCTGGAACACTTTTGCCTTCCCCTTGTGCCCTTCACCTGATTCCAGAGGCTTATTCCTATAATTTAGTTCTTATTAGAATTTCCCTTACTGTTTGCTCCATCTGTTTCAAGAGTCCTTATTTAGCATTTATATTATACATGATAAATATATCTCTATATATAGAGATAGATATAGATGTAAATATATAGATCATGGTTCATTGCTCCCCACTGCTTTCTTTCCTCTTCTCTTCATCTTCCCCTATCTTGAAGTCTCTGTTCTGATTCATTTGTTGTTCCATTAGAGTATTTTCTCAAAAGTATTTCTCAGATGTGACTTCTGTAAATCTTCAAATGTCTTTCTTCCCTTCTTGGCTGGGTCGAAGTCGCAGGCCTTTTCTTCCATGAGCCCACATTCAATGTTGCTGTCTTTTAACTTCCAGGGTTGCAGATGAGAAGAAAGTGTTTGCTTTCTGCCTGAAAGTGTGTAAGATTTCTTATATCCTTTGAGTTTTGGAATTTTTGCCTGTATACAGCTGAGTGTGTATCTTTTCCTATAGGTTGGGTCTGGAACTTACGTCTTTCTTCAGCTCAGAGAAATTTCGTCTATTATTTAATTATCACCTCTCCTCTCCTGTTCCTTTTTCTCCTGGAACCCACAGCATTTGCAGGTTGTTCATGGAGGAACTGGGCAATAAATGAATGTATTGCAGGTTCAGTGTTTTCAGCTGGCCCTAGTGTGCTGGTCTTTCCCCACAGAATTAGTCAGAACTCGTGGTTGCAAGAGATACAGAACCTAACTTTGATTTAGGCAAAAAAGGGAATTTATTAACTTACATAATGGAAAAATTCAGAAGGCAGATTTAGCTCCGGGCATGGCTGAATGCAAAGCTTCAAATGAAGTGGTCTCTCTCGACATCCCAGCTGTTTCCCTCTTTGTAGCCAAAACCAGCTTGGAAGTTTAAACCCATCTTGACAGACTGCAGAGTAAGGCAGATGGAGGGGCCTGGGCTGGATGGCTTCTGGGGCCCCTCCCCACCTATAAGTGATTCCTTAAGAATTTCCTGTCATTGAACCTTCGGCTATCCCAAAGACCCTTCCTCCTTGGGTGTTAAGTTCATCCCTATGCTCCCAGCTGGGATCTCAGGAACAGGGGGAAAGCTGGGGCCCCAGAGGGCTCGGTGGCTTCCCGTAAGGGTCTGCCCCCTGGGAATTTGCCTGGGACAGGGCACTCCTTCTGGCTGGAATCACACACTGGTGAGGCAAAGGAGTCCAGTAAGGAAAGCACCTGGAGCTATGGAGGGGGAGAGAAATATCAGGTATGGGGTACGGTGAGCTGAGTTGACGAGCTAGAGAGGTGTGGTGAAGGGGCCTCTTGGAAGGTGTTTGAGGAGGATGGGCTGCCCCAACTTATGTTCCTAGATTGGGGGATCAATTAGGAAGCTGTCACAGTCCTGGTGCTCAGCGCTGAGGGCCTGGGCCAGAGCATGAGCCTCGGCAATGAAGACAAGGTAAGAAGTAAGAAGTATTGAAGGGGTGTAGAGGAGGGTGATGGCAGAGGATCCAGGTTTCGGGGACCGGAAGGAAAACAGTTCAAATCATACCCCGCTACAGTCACACGTGAAAACATGAAAAACAAAATCGTTTTACAGAAACAATTTACAAGCGGCTGTTCTAGCGCAGTCATGTCACCCTGCTCCAGACAGGACGAGTCCGCTGCGTTCCGCGAAGTCGGGAGACAGAGGCTGGGGGCCGGCGGGGCGGGAAGCTTCGCACGGCTGGGAGGCTAGACAGGGGGCGCTTCGAACCGTCGGACTACAACTCCCAGGATGCCGCGGAGCAGGCAGTCTACGCCTGCGCAGAGGTGGTGGCGGCGCCGCGTCTCGCCAGATGGGGGCGCTGGGGGCTGAGTCCCGGTCGGGCGGAGGTGGCGAGGGAGGTGGGTCCCGGCCGGCAGAGCGAATCTGGGTGCAGAGGTCTACGGCCTGGGATGGGAGCGTTTGAGCCCTCGGCTCTGATTCCTGGCTCGTCCCAGTGGGTTGGTGGGACCCAACCCCCGCCGCTTCCAGGGCAAACCTCTCACGTCCCCCTGGCGCGGACACCCGGAGCCGTCTTCAGAAGCACAGCAGCCCTCAGAACCCCATCCCGCTGCCGGTGGTTCCCCGCATCCGGTGTCCTCCCCCACAACCACCCTCCCTCCCACACAGCTCCAGCTGCCTGCCCTTGACCGCGACTTGGGCGTCTCCTGGGAAGGCCCGGTTTGAGGTCCTCAGAGACCCAGGAACCCGGCGACATTGGGGTTTTTCGGGGGTGGGTTTGGGGGGGTCCGTTATCACTGGGACCACCAGAGCAGAATCAGGCGTACAGTTCCCTGCTCTATGGTTTTCTCTGGGATTCTAAGTGGCAAAGACAGACGCCTGGAAGTGAAAGCCTCAGCTTCCCCTTTCTCCTGCCCCTCAACCCTCAGGCCTGTCAAGCCGGACCTGCCTCTACAGAGGCCCTAGGACGAGATGGCCTAGATCTCAGGCTTAGAGTGAAGTATTTTTTTCCTGTCTCCCATACAAAGCTGAAGCTAAGAAAGGGTTCGCCAGGTTGGAGCTATTGCCAGAACGAGGAATGGGTTGTAGACGGGCTACAGGAGAGGTGGGCAAGGCCAGGGAGGGAAGGGCAGCCAATGCAGTGTGAGGACTAAGGGGTGTGAGTGTGTGTGTTATTGCCAGGTGATGAGGTGATGAGCTGAACCAGTTTGGAGCTATGTTGTGTTATTGTGATGGGGGTTGGGGGTGGGGGGTGTTTCAGGCTCCAATCAGAAATGTGTGTTATTGCCAGGTGATGAGGTGATGAGCTGAACCAGTTTGCAGCTATGTTGTGTTATTGTGATGGGGGTTGGGGGTGGGGGGTGTTTCAGGCTCCAATCAGAAAGATGGAGGGTGTGTGATAGGTGGGGCCTTTTTTAAATAAAACCTCGTAAATATCTTTCTAATCCATCCCTTCCTCTCCATCCCCACTGCCACTGCCACCATTTTCTCTCACTTAGATTTTGCAGCAGCTTCCTAAAGGCCCTGCCTGACTCCAGTCCTGCAGGCCTGCAAATGAACACAGCAGCCAGTGGCATTAAAGCCCATATCTGACTGTGTTCATCCCTTGCTTAAAAACTGGCAGTGCGTGGTGCTGATAATACCAAGGTCAAGGGTTCAGGTCCTGCACCAGCCAGCTGCCAAAAAACAAAAACAAACAAGCCAAAAACCCTGAAATGACTCCTCACCTGCAGGATAAAGTCCAAACTCCACAGCACAGATTACAGGCCCGGTGTGATCTGACTTCTGTCCACCCCTCCAGCCTCATCCTGCCATTCCCCCATTTCACTAAAACTGCCAGCCAGGCTGAAGCCACTTCCAGCAGCTACTCCAAACAAGCCTCCCCTTAGCCTTGTGATTCCCTCTGCCTGAAACTTTCTCTGTCCTTCAGTTCTGGCAGTTCCTACTATGTGCTGTGTCCCTGCTTACAAGTCACTTCACCTATGGCTCCTATAGACGATCCTATATTTCTGTTCTTTTAATAATACCCAGCATTACTGAGCACTCACTCATTCTAAGTGTTTTACATATGGTAATTCACTTGAACCTCACAACAACCTTTTTTTTGAAATAGACACAATGAATATCCTCCCCATATTACAGATTCAGAGACCGAGGGCCAGTAGCTCAAGAACACACAGCTGGTATGTAGTAGACCTCGAATTTGAACTCGGGCAGGCTGGCTCCCAAGCCCACAGTTCTGATCCCTATGCTAACTTGCCTACTGTGTAGAATGTTATACAGTGTAGGAAGCTGGGGTTAAGAATTAAACAGGTGATGGGGGGACAGGCAGGGCAGATTGGATAGGGATTAAAATGAAAATGGTGACAAGCAAAGCTGTTGCCAGGATTGTAGGTGACAATTGAGAGAGTGAAGTGGAGATGGAGTAGACTGTTGCCATAGTGATGGTGTGAAGAGAAGGCCAGTAGAGGTGTACAGATGATAGAGTGAAGACAGGGCTACTGATGCTAAAACAGGGGTATAGTGGAGACCCATGGGGGACAGGGGGGAAGGTTGATGGGGTCTAGACTGTCAAGTTGTAGGGGGGTGGTGGCACAGTTATAGAGGTCATGGGTAAAATAGTTCAGGAGCTGGTGAGCTTGCAGACCCTCGGTGGGGGGGATGTGGTGGCTCTGAGTGCAAATCCTGGGGCTTTTCTAGCAGCAGCAACAACAGTGGAGAAGCTGGGCTCCAGCCCTCCACTCCTAGCACCTGCCTCTGCAGTGTTGGTGCAGCAGCCCCTCCTGGCCTCTCTTCCCCAGCTAGGCACCCCCAGAAGTGCTCTGTGCAGAGACAAAGCTCACACCCCCACCTGGGAGGCCTGTTGCAGGTCTGCGGCCCTCCGAGTAAAATTTAAACACTTTTGAGAAGTTTTATTTGAAAACTTGGGGACATGACAGAGACAGCAGGATGGAGACTGTATTTTCCTGCCAGAGTTCTCAGGTCAGAAGCCAGGCTTGGACCCCTCAGGTCCTTCTGTCCCAGGACCCCTCCTCTAGCCTGTGGGCTCCCAAAGACCATACCCACCCGCATCCTCTCTGGCTCTTGCCCCTCCCCCACTGCCCACTTCCTTCACCTGAGGAGACACTGAAGTGTCGGGGGAAGACTGTGAGGGAGGGGATGGAGGAGGATCTGGTTAAACTCCGGAAGGAGGAGGAACTGAGAAGCTGGGAGTCTGGGGGCTGAGAGGAACAGAGAGAAAAAAGAGGTGGGGAGGGGGCCACTGCCTTTGCATCCAGCATCCTCAAGAAACGGAGCCTGTTGGTCCCCTGAGATGTCTCCTCGCAGCTCAGATAGGAAGTTCAGAGTAGGTCACGTCCTGGGTAGCAATGGCTCCCCATCTTTTGGGTTGAGAAACAGTCATGCCTCAGACAGGGTAGCAGTAACCCTGCCACAGGGGAGGCTGGGGCAGCGCGTGCCCCACCACACCGCGCCCTGGGCCTCAGCTGGCTGCAGGCTGGCTGTTGGCGTAGGCCTGATCTGGGAAGGAAGCCCGGGCTCTGCGGGTCTGGGCGCACACAGAGGCGTAGAGCTCCGGATCGGGGCCCGACGCCTGGGGCTTTGGCTCAGAATCCAGCACCACCTCCGAGTACTTGATGGGGGTCCCAGGGTTTGGGACCCGGCCTTGAGGAGGCCGCAGCTGCAGGCTGGTATAGCACATCACCTCCTCTGTAGCCTGGAGATGCAAGGCTGTTAAAAGTTCACCAGACCCTCGTAAAAGCCCCCATTTCCTTCCCTCCCCTGTTCTTCAGTTGACTCACCCTCGTAGGTCCTCCAGTGGTTGGATCCTGCTGGTCTGGCCTTGGTTCTTGAGACAGCCGACCTGGGACAGGGACCAGGGATCTGATCAGCTTCTTGTTCCTCCTCCTGCGCACCCCCATCTCACCCACTCAGGACCTGGCCTCTGTGCCCTCCCCGCTGCAGCTCCCTACCTGTCTGTAGATAATGCAGGTTCCCATACAGGGGCACCTCTTCCACAGACCCTCCAGAGCTGCAACACAGAGTTTAGGGGGTGAGTGGGGACTGTTAGAGGAAACTCTCCACCTACCCTTCTCTGTTGTCCCCTACTCACCTCCCTAGCCCTGGATGGCTCCTGCGCCGGCCACTGGTCCACTGGGACAAGTGTGCAGCCAGAGAGATGAGAAACAGCAGCGTCACAGCCCCTAAGAGGGCCCACAGTCCCCAGGCTTGGGTTACGGAGGGGATTCCTGTAGATGCGAGAGGAGAGGGGGAGGGGGTATTACTGCCCAGCCCAACCCCCATGGGGCCACATGACCCCTCCCCTAGGAGCCCCTGCCCCGCCCAGCTCACCATGCACTAGTAGATCAGTGCAGTTGTCACCTCTGGTCATGACTGCCGATGTGAGAGCTGAGTCCACAAGCACACTGCCCTGAGCTGAGGGTCAGCCCGGTTCATGGCCTGACAGCTGCCACAGCCCCCCTTGCTCCCATCTCTCCTGGGGCCTGGCTCCCAGCTCATCAATACTGGTGGTGGCAAAGTCACTGGTTTCCGGGGAGGAAGGGGGCTGAGCGCAAGAACAAAGACCCCGCCCTGTGCCTGCACCTGCGCCACTCTGGCAGCTCTGAGCTTCCCTCAACCCTCTGTAGCCTTGTGCCCCTTTCCATCCGAGAGAAGAGAAGCAGGTCATGTACTGTGCCATGTGCAGATGAACCCATGAAGACTCCAAGGGGAGGCAGAAGTGGCAGGATCAACAGGGACACAAGCACCCCTTCTGCCACAGGATGCCCACCTTTTCTCTCCAACTCTTAGTCCAATAAAGGAGGATGTAGTCCTCAATGCGCATGCTACACAGTGGAGTGGTGTGGGCAGGCCTTGGTTCTTGAGACAGCCGATCTGGGACAGGGAACAGGAATCTGGGTACCCATGCTTCTGCCACGCCCTAAGGCTGACCTGAGAGGAAGTGTGTTTAGATGATTGTTGTCATTGGTATTGCTAACACTACAGTTTAGGGGATAGAGGAAGGCAGATTTCCCACCTCCCAACCCACTTCATCCAAACCGTCCCTAAGAACTCTCACTGTCAAAAGTTAATCACATTAGAGAAATCTCTGCACAGACTGTCCTAGGAAACTGAGTCCTGTCTCTCTTTGCACTCATTCACTTCAGGGAGTGAAGCGCCTGCTGAGCCTTGAGACAGCCCAATCACATGGGGGGCTATTGATGTGGGAAGAGGGATTTTCAATTCTGAATATAAACCCTAGACCAGAGGTCAGAGATGTGTTTTGTCCAGCCAATAAAACATTTTTAAAAAATTTAAATGTATGGCAGTGTGTGTCAAGAATGGGGAGAAGTCCTGCCACTTTGGTTGCAGGCAATAAGGGGATGCATTGCCTGAAGAGAATTTTTAAAATAAAATCAACTGAGGGCCAGCCTGTGGCTCACTCAGGAGAGTGCGATGCTGATAACACCAAGGCCACGGGTTCGGATCCTATATAAGGATGGCTGGTTAGCTCACTGGCTGAGCGTGGTGCTGACAACACGAAGCCAAGGGTTAAGATCCCCTTACCGGTCAAATAAATAAATAAATAAAATGAAATCAACTGACAACGAGTCTCCTTTTCTTTTGGCAGCTGGCTGGTATGGGCATCAGAACACTTGACCTTGGTATTATCAGCACAATGCTCTACTGAGTGAGCTAACCAGCCAGCCGGCCCCCCGTCTCCTTTTTCCATATTCCAGCAATTCTTTTTTTGTTTTTTGTTTTGTTTTTCTTTTTTGTGACCGGTAAGGGGATCGCATCCCTATATAGGATATCAGCCATCCCTATATAGGATCCGAACCCGCGGCAGGAGCGCTGCACTCTCCCAAGTGAGCCACGAGGTCGGCCTCATATTCCTGCAATTCTGGAATAAAATATTCCTCTCTGAAAAATCTTTTGTAGATCTTAGTCCTAAACTGCTTTGGTCACTAGTGAGTTTGAATAATATGTAAGCTTCAAATTAGCACATTTTTATTAGCTATTTTTTAAAAAACATTGTAACAAACGTGAATGTTAATCTGGAGAACTCCCAGTTATACAATAGGCCCTTGACAGAGACAGATTAATCTATATGTCTTTATATCTAGAATTAGTTTGTAACAGTTTGGAATTGTCAAATTTACGTTGGGAACAATTTCATCTCTAACCCCAATAATAACTACATATTTCTGCGTTTAACCAGTATACTTAAAATAAACAATAACAACACAGTGATTATAAAGTAAAAGAAACTGAACTTGAGTTACTGTAATTCTGTCATTCTAAGTGAACACTTGGAAGTTTTTAATTTATATTTAAATTTTCTGTAATTTATTGTGAAATGGGATTTCTGTGAATCTTTATCAAACTTATCTCTATGTTTAAAACGTTTCCTATTTGTACATCTATTGCCTCATGTGAAAAAAACTTTTTGAAATGAAATTTAATGAAACTTCCTTTAATCAATTGTGGATGAAGATTGACAAATCTGGTTTTATTCTCTGTTGAATATGAATGTGCAAAGATTACTTTTGACAAACTTGCAGAGGTTAAGGATCAAAAAATGAAATTGTAACACTATTCATCACTCAGACAGATCAATGTATAGATATAAGTTTTTGGCCCCCTTTCTCAAAAAATACAATAATGTACTTAAGAAGTATTAATCCATTATCTATTGCTTTCTTGTTCTGTAGTATTTAACCAAAAAAATTTAACTATATATATTTTTTATACTGGTATGATTGTATCTACAGAGTTCAATAAAAGAAAATATTCACTGAGTTTCTTTTCTAGCCCTTATTATTTGTTTCGTTTCATGATTATTACTGAAAATTATTGTCATTTAGAAGAGAAATTTTAAAAAATGATCCGCTTTAGGTCAAATATGTTAAGTATGCCACTGAATCGACACTTAAAAATTGAGAGATTTCCAATTTTAAAAATCCTGATTTGGGGCCGGCCCGGTATTTTTTATACTGGTATGATTGTATCTACAGAGTTCAATAAAAGAAAATATTCACTGAGTTTCTTTTCTAGCCCTTATTATTTGTTTCATTTCATGATTATTACTGAAAATTATTGTCATTTAGAAGAGAAATTTTAAAAAATGATCCGCTTTAGGTCAAATATGTTAAGTATGCCACCGAATCGACACTTAAAAATTGAGAGATTTCCAATTTTAAAAATCCTGATTTGGGGCCGGCCCGGGAAGCATGGTGGCGCTCCCGCCGAGGGTTCGGATCCCACATACAGACCGGTTCCCGCTCACTGGCTGAGCGCATTTAGAAGAGAAATTTTAAAAAATGATCCGCTTTAGGTCAAATATGTTAAGTATGCCACCGAATCGACACTTAAAAATTGAGAGATTTCCAATTTTAAAAATCCTGATTTGGGGCCGGCCCGGGAAGCATGGTGGCGCTCCCGCCGAGGGTTCGGATCCCACATACAGACCGGTTCCCGCTCACTGGCTAAGCGAGGCGCGGGAGCAACACCGAGGGTTGCGATCCCGTTGCCGGTCCCGGTCTGGTACCGGGGCAACACTGAGGGTTGCGATCCGTTGCCGGACACGGAAAAAGACAAAAAAAAAAAAAAAAAAATCCTGATTTGTTGATTCTTTTGAAAAAGAATCAGAAGATCTGGCAATAGTGGGCCCGAGTTCTCTAAAGGCAACAGTCGGTTGGAGGGCCACGTATCCTATTATTCCTGGCCTGAACCCCTTCTTTACATAGACTATGCCAACTGGCTGAGATTCAAAGTTTGGACTACCCTGCTCTGCGTGCCCAGGCTGCCTCCATAGTCAGCTAGACTATGACAACTCCCCTGGGGCGAGTCTCTCCCTGCTTGACCTTCCCCCTCCCTTTCTGGAAAAACAAGAAGATACAACCTTATTTCATTAACTTATTTAACACACATGTACCGATTGCTTGCTTATGTGTCAAGCTCTGGAGATAGAAATGTAAGTGAAACTTGGTTCTTTTCCTCAGAGACCTCTTGGCCTAGTTGGGAAGACAGCTGTGTGTATCCGAGACAATTAAAAGACAATGTGGAACAGAGGGAGGCATGCCTGTCTGCCTGGAGAAGTCGTGGCAGGCAGTGGAGACAGGCAGAAAAGGGTTGGACTCTCCACTCTGCCTCTTGCCTGATTAATAGCTTACTTAAACTTCTGAATCGTAGTTTCCTCATTCTTTAAAAGAGCTTAATTATATTTACCTTTTGGGTATTGAACATTTGAACATTCATTAACTTCATTCAACAACCAGGTGCTGTGGGAGTAAAACGGTAAGGAAAAAGAGACGTGGTCCCTGCTCTCGTGGAATTTCAGTGTAGCGGTATTGAAGAAAGTAAAATAGTTGCACTACGGAATAAATTAGAAGTTAAGGGTTCTGAATGAAGGCAACACACAAGCTGAGAAGTGAAGGCTGTGTCGAAATTAACTGTGCACAAAGGGAATGTCGGCGGAACGTCCAGGAGAGAGGGTCAATGTAATTTCAACTGCCTGGCTCGTAGTAGCTGCTCAAGTCAAAATCACTAATAACTAGGCACGGTTCTAAGCACTTAGATTACTTAGATTATGCCATTTAATCACCATAGCGACTCGAGGTACATACAATTCTCACCTCCATTCCTCAGAGTGAAAACTGAGGCACAAAGAGAAATTAACTAAACTTACCCCAAGTCATCTGTTCTCGAGTACTGGAGGCAGGATTCTAGGAGTCCATAGGAGCATCCCATTGTGTACCATGCTACACAATAAATGGTGGCTATCCCGGCATTGGCCACCTGGAGAGGGCAGTACAAGAGGAAGTTGGCTGGCTTTGTCACAAGGGAGCTTCCCACGCAACACCAAAGTTACAGCGCACAAAAGCAGCCGCGCCGAGAATGAGCCCCGTGTGGTTAGTGCGCGTGGGGGCGCACTGCCTGCGTGACTGGGACAGCTGACGGATGACCCCCCCGCGCCGCGCCGCTCAGCGGCCACCGCCGCGCAGGCGGCGGGGACGCTTCTCAGCGGGCTCAGCTGCGGAAGACGGGGAAGGCCGACGTGCGCGCGCACGTGGCACTCTCTGCCTCAGGTCCGGGGACTTTCCCCTAGGCGGAAAGGAAAGGAACCAGTCCCCCGTGTGTAGCCTAGGAAACAGGCCTTCAGCACGAACTGGGGGCTTATGCACTGCTCTGTCATTTTATAGGTCTCCGAAGAATCTTGTCTTTTGGTGAGGGCGAGAAAGCTGATGACGTGAGATCTAAAAATAAATCACCTTTACGCATAATTTTCTAAGACTGTAGGCTTCTGAACGCACTCAGGCTAATAGAATAGCCAAATAGATGAGAAAAAACTAATTTTATAAAGCCAGACTGAGACGGGCTTATGCAAAACACTTTGACCCGCCCCACACTGAACGGGCGTGGCCTCCCTGAGAGGCCTGGTAGGAGACCCGCTCCGCCGCGCGGCTGCGCGTGCGCGCTGGGGCGGGAGGCCTGCGCTGGGACGCCTCGGCGCTGCGCGGTCCGTCTCTGTGTGCACCAGCAATGGCGGGCGCGGTGTCTCTTTCGGTTGTTTTGGGGCTGCTACTTGGGCTTGCTCTGCCCGGGGTCCTCGGAGACCGCCCCAGTCCTGACCTTTGGGCACACCCAGGTATCAGCGAGGGCTGCTGGGCGGAGGCTGGGACTGCCCACGTCGTATAACTTCGTATAATGTATGCTATACGAAGTTATTACGTCACCTGGATTTGTAAGATCATAATGGACTTCTCTCTGAAATGATGCTCTTTGGGGGCGCTGTACACCGCGGCCGTCGTGGCTTTTGTGCTGTACAAGTGTTTGCAGGTGCGGGACGGCCGGGGGTGGGGGTGCCCTCACTCTGAATCCACCATGGGGGCGCCTTGGTACCAGCAACTAGTTGCATTATCCCGTCTGTAAAATGGAGACAGGTAGTTCCTTAGCTTTCCAACAGTATGGGGTTATTTTGAGGACCCAGCGAGGTAGGGGAAGTGAAGGGCGCTTGGTGAATTGTAAGTAAGTTATGACCATCACATTCACTCACCCCGCAATCCAATGAAAGGCGATACCTTGCTTGAGGTCACCCAGAGTTGGTAACTGGTGGAGTTGGGGTTTGAACCCAGCCAGTGTCCATACTATAAAAGTGCTGTTTCCGGTGAGGAAAGTTTTAGCACACGGTGTGGCAGCTACAGTGTTACTTGAGTTCAAGACCCTAAGCAGTCTCATTTTTTTTCTTGGGAAGGGGGCCCTGAAAGGTAAGCTGACAGTACATTTTGATGGACTGAAGCTGTTTAAATGAAAAGTAGTATCTCCCAGGACTGTATCTTCAGTCCTGTCATTTACTTGCATTAGGAAATAGGGGGCTGAATCAATTTGGAGATATGAAATTAGGAGAGATAATAATGATCCCAAGTGGACTTGACAGGCTAGGATGAGGGACTGAATTTAATGATGAAATTTAGCAAGGATAGATTAGCAGCAGCATCTATAAAAGAGACAGGCATTTCTGTTGGCTAATAAATTCATTATATGATGTTACATCCTACTTCCCAAATCAATTACAGGGACAAGGTATTGTGCTTTATCTGCTGATCAGAACGCTTCTGGAGAATCTTATTCTCATTAGGACACTGCTTTAAGAGTATTACATGCTTGCTTAGTAAAGCAACCAGAGAAAACCGTATGAAATGAGCACTGACTGAAAAGATTGAAGATATTAAACCAGAAGACTTGGGGAAGGGGATGGGAATATGGCCATTGTCGTCAAATTCCTGAGGAGCTATCATGTTGAAGACACTTTATTTTGGAAGGCTCTAATCAGCAACATGGAAAGAAGATATATGAAGGACAAATTCTGACTTTTTATATGAACCATGTAACAACCAGAGCTTTATCAGACTGGAAAGAGTTGCTCATTCCTGGAGGGTTTCAGCAGACTCAATGATATATGGGGCATATTGACAAACTGTTTCATGTCCTGGGTGAGGAGCTGGGCTAGAAGTGATTGTGATTCTCTATCTCAAACTATGTTCTTCTCCTTACTGGCTTTGGAGACCGAGGTGATGGAGCAGAACCGTACTGCTGCAGTATTGCCCTTTCCTTCTTCCACAACAGGGGAAAGATGAGGCTGCAGTTCTCCAAAAGGAGGCAGGCAAGAAGGAATCGTTGCAGTCAGGTGGGTTTAGCAGAAGTCTGTGCTTGCTGGGGGGAGATTAGAGGTCAGCAGAAGTAACTATTGCTTCCCTTTTCTCCCTTATCCCCAGAGCAACAGCTGGCTCAGTTGACACAACAGGTGGCACAGACAGAGCAGCACCTGAACAATCTGATGGCCCAGCTGGACCCCCTTTTTGAGCGGTGAGGAGAGCAACGACCCTGTAAATTTGTGGGGAGCTTATGGTAGGTGGGAGGAATGGGGGCATAGATTGGGCAGCCCCTGAGTGAACATTTCTGCAGAGTGACTACTCTGGCTGGAGCCCAGCAGGAGCTTCTGAACATGAAGCTACAGACCGTTCACCAGCTGCTACACAATAGCAAGCCCGACAAGGGTGTGATTCCAGAACCAGGTAAAGGTTTGGGAGGTGAAAGTCTGATGGAGGTGGGGACAAAGTCTCTGAAACTGGAACATGTCTCATCTTTCCCCTCACAGAGGCCAGTCTACCCTTTCCTGAGGACTTATGTATAGAGGAGCTTGAGGAGGAGGCTGGTGACATTCAGGCCTGGAGCACAGAGACACAGAACCTAGCTCCTTCCTGGGAGGTGGAGCAGGGGCTAAGGAGAAGATGCAGCAAGGTTGCGGCAAAGGGCCCCCAGTCATAGTCTGGGCCGGGAAGGAGGGACAACAGCTGAGGGTTTAGTAAAACAAAGTCCATTCTTGTGACTGGATGCTCCTGTGTGCTTTTTCCATCCCAGCTGGTAGCACACACACCCACACTAGGTGCCTAAGGACAACTGGGCCTTCTTGAAAAGCTTCCCTTATTAGGACAAAGAGGCTGCTGTCTAGCGTAAGAGGAGAGAAGATAGAGGGAGCTCCAGTTCTTTTCCTTGTATTACTGAAGTCACCAGTATGCCAGCCTTTAGGGCACAAAAATCCCTCTACTCATATCAAAACTGAGACAGAAGGCTCTTTCAAAAAAAACCCCACAAAAGTTTATTAAAATCCACTGGGAAAATAAATTATAGAAACTATACACAACATAAAAGTAACCACGCTTACGAAGCTGCAAGCTTAACAAACGACTAGCCATAGATACATCACCAAGCTTACCACTCCCAAATCCCCTCATGTCTGTTAGAGAAGCTAGTTTAAACAAGATTCAATTAGGTCAGACTTGGTTTCCTGATTCTTAAGAGCTGGTCACATGATCAAGAGTAGCTCTCCCAAATCCCCTCATGTCTGTTAGAGAAGCTAGTTTAAACAAGGTTCAATTAGGTCAGACTTGGTTTCCTGATTCTTAAGAGCTGGTCACATGATCAAGAGTAGCTTGGTCTTAGGCAAACACAAAATGACCCTCATCAAACCATGGTTCTGTGTTGTGTTTAGTACCGAAAAAGATTCCTTTGCACTCCTGGCTCTAATCCATCCCTGAAGTATCCTGAATTCTGGAATTTTTAAGATTCCTCTAATTCTTCTGGCTGCTGTGGAGAGAAGACAGTTCAGGTACTAACACAAGTACTTTAGTCAGACAAAATCACCCACAGCATTGGGAGGGGAGTCCTGGGCAGATGTAGGACATGAGATAGGATCAGAACTGCTCATTTCTGGGGCTGGCCAATTAGCTTAGTTGGTTAGAGCATAGTGCTGATAACATCAAGGTCTGGGGTTCAATCCCTGTACCAGGCAGCCACCAAAAAAAAAAAATAATAATAACCTCATTTCCAGTTTGTGGGCCTCATCTCAGCACTCTCCCCGAGAAGCACATTTACCTGATAGCTGAAGTCAGACTGAGGTACCAGCGCGACAGCTCCTCCTGGTCTGTGGACATAAGCAGTAGCTTCTCATGAGGGAAGGACAGCTAGAGAAAGACCACCTCTTAGTTATGGCTCAGAAAGTTCCAGGCTAGGTAATTCAGGGATGAGATGAAAACTAGGTATGAAGTTCAAGCCCCAACTATCCTCTCAATGTAGACAGTTCCATTCCAGTGAAAAGAGACCCAGGAGCTAACAAGGAGCTAAACCAGTCTATAACATTTAAGGTATATTTTTGGCCTCTCCTAACCTTACCTAGGGTTCCCACCTATTACTTACGCTGAGCAATCCACCACAGGGGCCTCCTGAGTGGCCAAAGACCCTGTGGAGTTGACACTGGGCCATGGGGTAGAGGGCCCTGCAGACAAAGGTGCCACTCTGCAGCAGGTGCAATGGAGGTCGAGGCTTGGCCATGAGAAGCACATCAGAGAAGAGGAAGAACATACGGGGCTGAGGCTCCCCACGGGGAGGCACCACCAACAGCCAGCCCTGGCGTAGGAACCACCGCCCTGGGGGAATGGGAGAGCTGTCACTCTGGGCAGCTCCAGGATCCATGGGAATAGAAGGAAAAGCAGGCTGAGAAAACGGGGTGTGCTGGCTCTATAGAGAAAAAAGGGTAAGAAAGCAGCAGTTGAGGATTGAGGGGGAAGTACACATCCTACCTGAGGTAAGCCCCTTTGCCTGGCGTCCACTGAGCAGAGCCTGGACACGCCGGAGGTGCTGATCGTTCTTCTGTTTCTGACCAATGATGTAGACTCTCTGGGCAGTCTCACTTATAAGCCGGGCAGCCCCTAGAAGAACATTCCCCACCTCACTCCCATCACAGACTTTGGGTGACTGGTGGTGGTGAAAGGCTATTCTGGAGGGGATCAGGGTCAGGGGCTAAGTTCATGAAGAAAAGGCAGAGCAAAAGGGACGCTGTATACATGTCATTGGAAGATAGGAACATACCAGACACTGTTGGAGGTCAGAACCAGAAGGGTAGGTAATGTAAGGGGGCAAGAGAGGAAGAGGGGGCCGATTTGAGGTCATCTCCAGGTTACCTGCAGGGTGGTCCAGGACCTCTCTGCGTTGGCAGCAAATTGGGTGTAGAGCTCCAGGTGGGGGCAGAAGCTCTCTAGCCCTTGTCCCCAGTGCCCTCCTTCCAGGTAGGGAAGCAGCTCTCTGTATGGGTGAGAACAATAAAAGGCAGCCCACGAACTACTCAAGCACCACCTCATTTAATTACTCATCACCCTTCCACGGAGATAGTTCTACTATTACCCCATTTTACAGATGGAGAAGCCGGGGCAGGTTAAGGCAGTGGGCCAAGGCCACAGGTGAGGTAATTGGCAGACTCCGAATATAAACCTGAGGCTTTCCGACTCCGTGCACTGCCAGAGGCCAGGGATCTCCCTCCTCCCCTCTCTTACCGCGCCCCTTCCACTCACTGGCTGGCGCCGTAGATGAGCTCCCAGGGCCCAAACAGGGCCTGGCGCTCTGGGGGTGGCACAGTCCCCTTGGCTTTCAGGATCCCCAAGAAGTACTGCGTATGGAAAGAACAGTGGTATCTGAGTCTGGAGGAAGCGGAGGCCAATGCCAAGACGCGGCCAGAAACTGTAGAAGTCTACCCGAGCTCCCTACATGCAGGGGGACAGTCCAAGACCCACCATACTTGGGGTTACCGACCACGCAGAGACCCTCCACACTCGAGTCCCCGCCCCAAACGGGGAGGGTGCGCCCGGCCCGCACCGTGGCCACCAGCCCCAGCTGTTCGTGGTAGCGCCGCTCGCTCTCCAGCAGCTCCAGAGCCGTGCGGGCGCGTTTCCGCTCCCAACGGGCTCGCTGCTCTTGCACCGGGCAGCGAGCGCCAGAGCCCGAGCTCTCCATGCCGGGTTGAGTCCGCGCTTCCGGCCGCAGCGCGCCGGAGATTCAAATCCCAACCGCTCCGGGGCGGGGCCGCGCGGCGGGGAGCGCGCAGGACGGAGCATGCGCGGAGGCCGGCCGGACCGGCTGAGTCTCCTCCCACTTGGCCGCGCCGCACAGGCAGGGAGGCGGTGTAGGTGTTCGGCTCCCGCCGGGTAGGGCCGGCTGGGGCAAGTGTGCGGACCTCCTCTGAGTGGCGCTAAGTTGGGGCAGCAGCCTGGGCTTTGGGTCAGTAGACTTGGGGTGCAAACACTGGCCTCAGTGTCCTATCTGCAGAATTGGGAAGGGGGCGGTACTTACGGTACGTATTCTGCCCTGGTACCACGCCAGACGCGAGGGAAGTCAGTCATTCCCAATGCTTTCAGTACCAGGAACCCTCATGGATCACAAGGTTTGAAATATTGTGGCTCCTGGGCAAAAATTTATAGGTTTTAAGTTACTAACTCGTTTTCTGTGGATTTTATTGAAAGGTCTTATGCAGGGAGTGAGATGATGAAATGTACATTTTATAAAGATCGTACTGGTTAGCTGGACTCAGCAAGACCCATTAGGAAGCAGTTGCAGTCATCCAGGTTAAAGGTGAGGCAGTATGGGCTAGGATGAAAAATGTGGATGAAAAGCTTAGAATGTAGAATGCATAGGGCTTGATGATTGAATGTCACAGGTAAAGGAAAAGATGAAAGCAAAGATAGTACCAGGTTTCTGGTGGAGGGTGGTGTTATTCACTGAAGGAGGAAGAGGAGGTTTGTGGAGAAGACAAATTCTGCCTGGGACCTGTTGAACTTGAGACACTTGTGGGACATCAAAGTGGGGATGTCTTGTCCTCTAAGCAGGTAGTTATGGGTTGATGTGGGGGAGAGAGTCCAGCCTGGGGATACTGGGCTGTCATCAATTTATAGAAACCATGGAAGTAGATTAAACTGCCTACAAAGAGTATGAGGAGGGATAAGGGCAGAAGGCATGAAGGTCTCCAACACAGACTCATCCCATCTCATCCTGGCATCCACTTCAGTTCCACTACGCTGATGGCAAACTAAATGGCAGCCCCCATAAAGACAT